CTTGTACTATCTTCGCGCGTTTCTTCTTCCGCTTGTCAGCTCGCTGTTATAGCCCTTCTCTCTCACGTGGCCGACGAGCTCTTTTTATTTATGCATCGACATCGCCGATGCTGTTAACGCACTTTTTATACCGACACCGCCGAGCTTCCTCGTCCCTTTCGGTATCTTCTCTCGTAATCCGTCCATAATCTTTTGCTTTTTAATAGAACTGAATTTTGTAGTTGTATCGCTGCTACGGATTTAATGTCCCAGTAGGACAGAGCCGAATTCAATTTAAAGGGGAGCGCTGGGGTATGTGTTGGTATTACTGCGGACGCACCAATTAGTGTGGTATTTTATAAAAGTAATAAAATCTAACATTTTATAGTGTGTAATCTTCTAAAAATGAATCTCACAATTTTTTATATGTTTAATATCGATAATTTATGACATACAAGTAATAGCAATCGCTTTTTTAATTCATTTATTGACTTTTGATATTCGGAAGCTTATGAAAACGTTGAGTCTTATGAAATGCTCGTAATGGCAGCTGTGAACGCTGATTCGAAAGGCACTTATATGTTGATAATTAATAATAAACTATTCATTTTAACGTTATTTTTAGATAAAATAATCATTACTTTGATAAAAAAAATCGACGTACACTGTCACTATCATCTATCGTCAAATATTATTTACTAACACAGTATTTGGCGCATAGTTTTTTACTATGCGTGTACTGCGGCGCTTGACCGAACTGCGTACCTTAACCTATACGGTGCAGTTCTCGACGAGCCGGTGCGAACATGCTCGATGGTAGAGTACCTATACCTAATTTATAAAGTGTTACAGTAAAAATATCTTGATTCTAGAAATTGTAGTTGTGTATGTACATTTACAAGAAAATAGGTTATGTCAACCTTGACACACGCGGTAATCGAAACGTCCGCAGTATGTATTTGGCTCACAGTGATAGATACATAACCATAGTAATACATGCACACCTATTGTTTCTTTACGTTATGCTTTTTAATGGAATTTGTGCTTTCAGAGATGCAATATTGTAAGAAAACTAAATATTCAAGTTAAAGAATAATAGGTATAGCTCGAGTTGTCGATTTATTGGCGTGAAAGATCTTATTTTCTCTGTCAAAGTTCGCCTTCATTGAAAAAACCGCAGTAACACCTAAACTTATCCTGCGTCGGTGGATTTAATTTCTGTGCATCGTAAACGAGAGCGCCGCGTCGACTGTTTCGAATTTCGACGATCGTTAAGCCGTCGATGGCCCGCGTTTTCAAAGCGGAACGCGGGCCCAGGGTCTTCCTTTTTAAAATTGGAACCACTCCAGAAATCCCGCGGCGACATTCCGCGAGGAATTTATTTTCGTTGCAGCGCCGGACTCCGTGTATTTTCGTGGCTGTTCCGACGCGGCCAACGATTTCATATTCCTTTCTCCCTGTCTTCGCTCGCGTGACAACAACACCGGCACGTGGGATCCTGTCCTCTCTCGATCGTGTGTCACCTGTCCGAAAACAAGACCCGAGAAACTCGGGGAACGGAAGCGGCGACGGTGGTGGGGCTGGGAGAGGGCGGCGGAGGGGTGGGGGGTATTCTCGGACGGAACTTTTGGAGGAAGTTGAGCAGTGTGGGATCGGATGGTTGGGTTAGAATTGTAGCGGCGTGAGTCAGATTTTCGAAAATTTTGACCGGTGTCTTAAAATGTGATCTACATATGCACGCTTGCCAAAATGTTGAAAGGACAAGTGAAATAAATTATAAAGTTACTACAAATTAACTTAACTCTAAATTATCTTAGCAATAAGTTTGTTCAGTAAAAAAAAAAAACGGTAACGTGCGTATTAGTGAACGATAACACTATTTGTTTCTCACAGGAAAATGTGAGTTATGCCGTTATGATTCTATAATAATATATTATAATTATAATTCTATAATTCTATAATTATATAATATATAATTCGGGATATATACATTATAGAAAAACTGGTATATCTGGGCGGAGTACCTTAAAAAATGCAAAATCGAACAGAATTTGTAAATGATATCGTGAATGATTTTAAGCATACACAATTATAAATTTATCAAATGGTTCGAGTGTTAGTCGATGAACAAAATACGTTGAGGAAAATTTATAAATGATATTATGAATGATTTTAAACATACTCACACAAGCTGATTTGTCAAATGGTTCGAGTGTTAGCCGACGATTTTATAAGGATTAAAATAGAAGGGAAATTTTACTTTCGTAGTGTAGAATATATGAACACGGGATGAGGTGGGAAAAGTAAGAAAACAGAAGCTCTAGAATAGTAAACTTATCGATGTATTCCTAAAAGGTAGTGCATATTGTGTTAAGATCGATATATCGAAATGTTAGGTGTACGCCAAGGCTCTAGTTCTTCTTCTCAATATTTCTGTATTTCTATTAACGTACATAAATTAATCCGCGAAATATTTGCTTCCACTTTGACTAACTTACTCTCGTCTATCTTTCACTTTTCTTTAAAAAAAAAAAAAAAAAATAATTTTATTAGTAGCTCGTCTCGTATACAGATACGATATGCATCTATTCGTCTTCTTCTTCGACTCACGAACAATGAGCTCACCTTCGCACATCGAGCACTTAACCCACCATTCCGTCGATTCGAAGAATAAAAGTGGTGTCTGTCTCTAAAAAAAAAGTTGTTGTTTCGTTTCTGAGGAACAGTAACTTTTTCTTACTAGTGCGAGAAACGCACGCACGCGGCGTGTTCCCTTGTTTCGCTTATTAAAAAGCTATCGTTCATAGAAATCTCACAATCTTACCTCGTTTATTACATCGAAACTAATTAAATAGAAACATCTTTGCTTGTGTTTTTATTTCTCCCGCGCGCGCGTGCTCTCTCTCTCTCTTGCTGTCTCTCGCACGCCTCTCTCTGGCTCTCTCTCTCTCTCTCTCTCTCTCGCGTACTATCTCTCTTGTACGCTCTTTCTCTCATGCTCTCTCTCACTCTCTCTCGCTCTCTCTCTCTCTCGCTCTCTCTCTCTCTCTCTCTCGCTCTCTCTCTCTCTCTCTCTCTCTCTCTCTCCCTCTCTGTCACGCTATCTCTCTCGCACACTCTTTCTCTCGCACTATCTCTCTCGCATGCTTTTTCTCTCACGCTCTCGTTCTCTCGTTCTTTCTCCCACTCTCTCTCTCTCTCTCTCTCTCTCTCTCTCTCCCTCTCTCTCTCTCTCTCTCTCTCTCTCTCCCTCTCTCTGTTCTGAATAATACGGACGCACTATGGAAGCTATATTTAACAGATATCTTTTTTTAACTTTTCATTTCACGAAATTCCGCAAAAGATATTCGAAACGAAAGGACCACTGCGAAAGATTCAGAGTAACTCGGAACGCGCGTTTAGCGACCGGCTATCGGTGATCACGTTGAACTGATTGACAAAATTATTGGACCGTAATTGTCTCTCCGAATGGCTCCCAACTGACCCATTAGTCTCGCCGGACAGAGTTATACGCGTCTTCCGATTGTCTCGACGACAGCGTTCTCGATTACAACGGTGGTAATCGTAAACCGGTGCCACTTTATTCGACGAATCCGTTGGATTAGTCAAGTAGAAGCAGCAACGAAAGAGGAAAATAAAACTGCGGGAACGACCAGCCTCGACGCTTTTACGAAACACGAGAGTCGGCGTCCGCTTCAGGATGATTCACTTTTCGCGTTGAAACGCTGAATCTCATCTCCGTACCACGTCCTTATCGCGTTGTAACTCTATGCTCTATATATCGAGGCTTCGGTATCGTCGTTTGTCTTTCAATTTTCAGAAAATTAACGAAAACTCTTTTTCGCATCTCGCTCGGCATTTTGGACTTGTTATTTTAACATATTGTCCATTCTCGGTGGGAGGATCGAGATTACATTTTAACCATTGTCATCACATTTTCAATATATCAAATTAATACCTTTTATATTACTCAACATTGTTGTTTAATAAACATGAAAAACAGTAGCTCAAACAAGAATTTTTATCTGTGATAGTATAAATTCTATCGATATAATCTTTTCACGTGTTGTTATAGACTGTCCAATGTACATTGTTTAATATTTTTGTTAAATACAAAACAAGTATCCATTACAGACATTGACCGAGCATGTACATAAAAGTGCCTCACAATTTCTTCTGAAATTGTACTACATCGTTTGTATTACATAATATCGTGCCAAATAATTTGTTGAATGTATATGGATAATATTGCTATCACTTTTGAACAATTTTTAAAGAAATATTCTTTAACCCTTTCACATATTTAACCCATTCAGGAGTCAGACTCTTCATGAATATTTCGTGCATAATCTATTAAATATGCCTGTTACTTTAAATCGAAACAAAATTGGCTTCTTCTGTGATTAAAATCTAAGACTGAAGCCAAATATAGATTCAGAAGAAATGAAAATGGACTCTAAGGGGTCCAAAGGACTCTAAGGGCTCTAAAAGTCGAAGAGGTCGAAGGGTCTCCAATAAATTCTCTCTAATTGACCCTCAGCTTGGAAATTATTATATTATTATTATATTATTATTGTATTATATTATTATATTATTATTATATTATTATTGTATTATATTATTATTATATTATTATATTATTATTATATTATTATTGTATTATATTATTATTATATTATTATTATATTATTATTATTATTATTATTGTATTATTCGAGTCTTGCGACTCGTTTTTATAGTTGTTGACAATCGGTAACTATGAAAACGAGCCGCAAGGCTCGAACAATCGTATCTTCTCTTGCCAAATTGTCGATTTTTGTGTCCAAGCTGGGTGTCAATTAGGGAAAATTTCCTGCATTAGGAAACTGCTTATAAATAAAATGTTGACAACTGTAAGAAACCGTAACAAGGAAAGTCATTGTTTTCAACCGACCGAATAAGAATGCTTCTTGACTTCCTCATAAAACACGAGTATCTAGGGTTACGAACTTAAATAATTGCTGTCGTTCTCGTTGCTCCAGCTGCGAGGGTTGCAAGGGGTTCTTCAAGAGGACCGTGCGCAAGGACTTGTCGTACGCGTGCCGGGAGGAGAAATCCTGCATCATCGACAAGAGGCAGCGGAATCGGTGTCAGTACTGCAGATATCAGAAATGCTTGGCGATGGGGATGAAGAGGGAAGCGGTACAGGAGGAACGTCAGCGTACCAAGGAACGGGATCAGAGCGAGGTGGAGAGCACGAGCAGCTCCCAATCCGACATGCCTATCGAGCGTATCCTGGAGGCTGAGAAACGAGTCGAGTGCAAGATGGAATCGCAAGAAAACTACGAGGTAAATATTCCGGTTAAACGAAGCGAGCATACCAGAATTTTTCTCTCATCGGCCCTACCCCCATGAATTTAGTCGAACGCCAACGGTGCGTGACCACGATCGGTAATTATACTTGCAGGTAACAATACACGATAGGGACCATTCCATTTGCCTTCGATTTGAAACGAGAGAGCTACATACTTCGCTTTGGACCTCGCGCGTTCCTCGGATAAACACTACAGATGCCCATTTCATCAGATACCTATTGTATTTAAAATAAACGTGCAAGCGTATAATCGATACATCCGTGTTATTATCCGTCTACTTTTTTACGCACGGATGCACGGGAACGTAATACACGTTCAAAATCGCGTGATCTCCAGTAAACAGTAACAGCCTCAGATGGTGCAAAATTTATAATTTCTTTTACGCTGCCTTAGGTTGCTGCGAAAACAATTAAAACTTCGTTTAGAACAACGTTTGTGTTACAGCTCAAAATACATTTAATGCGCGCAAGTGGGGATCGTTCACACAGTTTTATCAGTAAGTCTGTCTTTTCTTCACCTTTGATAGATGAAATAAAATTTTCAACCGTATATTTAGATGTTTCGTAGTTTAAAAGTGCTTCGATTAACGTTGGAAGGTCTGATTTTGTCGTTTAATAAAATCAACCGAACTTGCATTCTTTTATACCATTGTTTGAACGGTATGAAAAGGAGATGACGAAATATTGAAAGTAAAACCATTTGCATAGATAAATAGAATGAATTATGCAGTAACGTTGGATTTTTTAACATAAAGCAAGAGATTGCAGTCTATATCTTGCAAGAAAGTACCGGTAATATCTCCAGAAAAATGGTTGTGACGAATATAATCGAAAGTATAAGCTGTTAACGCTGGTTCAATGAAGCTGGGGGAAAATAAATTTTGTTCAAAAAAATGCACATGGAACATGTTCGTTATACATGTTTGTGATACAAAACTGTACCATTGCGTTGGACTGACTATCATGTTCTACACACAAGTCCTACCAAAAAAATCTGTGCTTTATTATAAAACACAAATTTAAACATTGTCGAGCTATAATCAATAATGAAGAAAATTGGTCTCGCAAGTCCAAACTCATTTTGCACAAATATATTAATATTTTTCAGAAATGGACAGACGGATACGACTAAAATACAATTGCTCGACATAAAAGTGCAAAACAAAATGAGCAAAAACTACGGGAGAGCGTATTGAGAACTGAGAGCTTATTCTTCTGCTCGAACAGTTTGGTCTTTTCACGCGATTACGCGTCCACCTGCAAGTATAGTATCGCGTGGAAACGCAGCATCGGATGTGGTCCCATCCTGTATAGAATGAACCAAACGTGACACGTACCGATCCCAACGGAATGGAACTCTGCTACTCACTCATTCTTTCTTTCTAGTCCTCTAAGTCATCTTCAGTGAATTTTACCGATCGATTATTGAATAGGATTGGGCGTCGCTGGTCCGAAGAGGATACCTCGTGCGAATTAGAGCTAGTCCTGTGGAATTAAACGCGCAATATTTCGGCCTGGAATTGAATTCCGTGAGTCGCTGTCTTCGACGACCCGTTCGTTAGTCGTGTTTACCATTTCAACTGGTCCGTGTGCCCACGCAACGGACGTCATCGAGTTGCTCTCGCGGCACGATAAACCGTGGACGAAACAAACGGGCTCTCCCGGTGGGCACGGGATCGATTCGTGTCGACATTCGACAGCAACCGAATCGGATGGATTAAAACTCGTTTCAGATGTCCTTTAACGGCTGCCTGTATCCGTCGTGTGTCGACCGGAATTCAGAGATCGATCATCGATCTGCTCGCTGGATAAGGAAGCTCCTCCTCGGAGTTATTGTTGGCCTGTGCCGTAATGGATTCGCGTGGGAAGGACATTTGTATTCGAACATGTCGACCTGAGACGGTCACCTGCATTCCCAATCAGACTCATCTTCTAAAATTAGTTGTTCCTACGAACGCGTCCGTAACTGGATATATTCATCCCTGTAAGTTCATTCGAGGAAGCTCGCGCGATTTTCTAACGTATTGCAAGTTCATCGCGCCTCGTCCTGCGGGGCAGAAAGATCACCAAGATCCAAAAACCACAGCTAGAGATCATTAGAGATCTGCGCCAATATTTGCATCCGAGTACAGTAATTTTAATTACTGTACTTAAAGTACAGTTCGCGCGCTCAGATTTCACACAAAAAATGAACAATCTCGAAAGAGGAGACACGATTATTCGAGCCTCGCGGCTCGTTTTTATAGTTACCGATTGTCAACGACTACAGGCTGTCCCAAAAATGTCTCGCAATCCAGAAATGGGGGGTTCCTGAGGTCGTTTGAAGTAACTTTTTCCTTAGCGAAAATGCAATCCGCGGCTTCGTTTACGAGTTATTAGCGAAAAACGGTGACCAATCAGAAGCGAGCTCGGCTGGCGCGCGGCTGACTCAGCCAACGAACGCACGAAGCTCAGCTCCGCTCATTGGCCCGGCCGCCTCGCGCCGACTGAACTCGTCTCTGATTGGTCGCCGTTTTTCGTTAATAACTCGTAAACAAAGCCGCGGCTTGCACTTTCGCTAAGGAAAAAGTTACTTCAAACGATCTCAGGAACCTCCCATTTCCGGATTGCGAGACATTTTTGGGACTGTATAAAAATGAGCCGCAAGGCTCGAATAATCGTATCTCTCCTCTTCCCAAATTATCCATTTTTGTGCGCAATCTGAGCACGAATTAGGGAGAAATTACTGGTAGTTCCGCGCGTCGAAGAACATAAACACAAACCTCCTGAGCACTCGTGTCAAGGAACATCGACAGTGCCGTACGAAACCGTAGTCCCATCGAGAGCATCGACTTCGTGTTAGAGCTTCCGTGATAAAATAAAACCTGCCACCCGCAGAAACCACCCCGTACGGAGCCGACGGTCTGAACAGTTAGACGGTCTGCTCCGACGAGGCTGTTCGACAATCCGGGGCGCGTATCAACCGCACGACAGAGCATCGCGCTACTCTCACCCTTGATCGCTTGTCCCGACCACTGCTAGCGTCGCGCGTCGTGCCGGTTGTATTTCGTGGAATGGTGTGCGTAGCTGTTCTACGAAACGCCCCTTCAATTAATTCAGCATCTCTTGTAATGCACAGAATGCAGTGTCGCGCATCTGCGACAATCAGCTGTTCCAGCTGGTAGCGTGGGCGAAACACATCCCGAATTTTACGTCGTTGCCACTGGAGGATCAGGTGTTGCTGCTGAGGGCCGGGTGGAACGAGCTGTTGATCGCCTCTTTCTCCCACCGGTCTATCGAAGTGAAGGATGACGGTATCGTGTTGGCCACGGGAATCACCGTCTACCGAGACTCGGCGCACCAGGCTGGCGTGGGCACGATATTCGACCGAGTCCTATCCGAGCTTGTGTCGAAAATGCGCGACATGAAGATGGACAGGACTGAACTTGGCTGTCTCAGGTTGGTTCCTCCGCTTTCTCACAGACGATAGTAACACCGAAAATCTGTAATCGAATCTGTGACTCCGAGTAAAAGCACATTTCGACTCGTCTCACCTCCCTGCAACAGCATGCCTTACATTTTATACATATACAGAGTAGCCCACAAAAGTGTTTGTACATCTTTTAAAACGCGATAGCTATTTTAAAACTAAACTAAATGACTTGAACTTTTTTTTTAGATGATAGAGAGATTAGTCTACTGGACGATGACTGAAATGCTTTTTAATTTTGCTATTACTTAGAATGACAAAAAACTAAAAATCTCTCGTTTTTTTAATTTTTTTATCTGAGCCTATAACGAAAATTTAAAAAACGTCTTTTGTAGATGTTATATGCATGTTGAAAATTTTATCGAAATCGGTTCACGTTGTTACGAGTTACAACAAATTAAAGATCGCAAAAATCGCAGTTTTATCACGATTTTGACCAAAAACTGTAAGAACTCTGCAGTTTTTAAAATCCTTCAACGCCTGTAGCTCGACTCTGGGTTAACCGATTTCGATCAAATTTTCAACTCGCATATAAGTTACCGAGATCTACAAATGGCATTTTTTAAATTTTCGTTACAAGCTCGGATAAAAAAATTATAAAACGAGGGTTTTTAATTTTTTCTTTTCATTCCAAGTAATAGCAAAATTTAAAAAAAGCTTTTTAGCCATTGTTTAGTAGACTAGTACCTCTATCATCTAAAAAAGATTCAAGTCATACAGTTATTGCGTTTCAAAAGGTGTACGGACACTTTTGCGGGTCACTGTATTTACATCTTCCATCCTCTATACCTATATTATTGTTTCGCGCTTTATTACTGTCACTTCATTGCTAAGATCGAGAAGAATCCAACGACCTATAATACCTTCGTACGACCATTCAAGCGCAAACCAAATGAAATGAAACACAATCAAGAAATGTCGCCGATAGAAAACTCGATAAATGAAATGTATTTTAACATCGTTTGCCTATCGTTTATACCAAAAATATCAAAGTTAATGGACATCATTTTGTGCATTTACCAAAGTTATTAGCTGAACGTATAAAGTAAACACATACAAAGTGATCAGCGTAATGAAATTCTGAGTTCTGATTTCAAAATGTGCAATCATAATTTCACTTGTGAAATTATAACTTATATCACTTATGATTTTTCATTTCTTGATATCATACATCGATCTTCCATAGTACATTAATTGATCGTCGATTGGTCTTCTGCAGGGCTATTATTCTCTTCAACCCCGAGGTACGAGGGCTGAAGTCGATACAAGAAGTGTCAAAGCTGCGAGAGAAAATCTACGCGACCCTGGAGGGTTACTGTCGCATGGCCTGGCCCGAAGACCCAGGCCGATTCGCAAAATTGTTGCTACGCTTGCCAGCGATCCGATCGATCGGTCTGAAGTGCCTGGAGCACTTGTTCTTCTTCAAGATCCACGTGCCGATCGACGAGTTCCTCGTGGAGATGCTGGAGTCACCGACAGACCCTTAGGAGCAGAAGGTGTGCCGCGTGTTGGGGCACACCGACCTTTGAGAGAACAAGAAACTATAAATATATACATATATATATATATACATGTATATATTTACATGTATATACATATATATATATACATACAAAAATATATATAAATATATATATACAGACCTACCTAACAAGCAAACAAAAAAAAATGAAAAATGTAAAAAACAAAAATATGCAACAGCATTCAAGATAAATCGCGTTAACGATTCTCGATGGTACCTACGCTGCCGCGTAAGGTATATGAACGTCGAGCAGCGAGCTGGAATTTACTTACACACTTTTCCTTCTCACCCTTTTATTTATGACTTTGTTAACGCATCATGCTCGACCTCGCGATGGCCAATCTTTCAGTCGATTCGTATCGAGAGCACGACGGAAGTTGCAACGATGTGTACGGATTGCGTGTACGGTAGCTCCGAGTCCTCCAGTTGAAGCGGCTGGTTCCGTGGAAGTTACCGAACCGATCTCTGTTTGCTTAACTCGTTGACTGCCGCGTGATTCATGTGTGGGTGACACATTTTTAGATCTATCTATCTTTTTAAGTACTGTCTATCGTTGCTATATAAACACTATATATAATGTCATTTTAGAGATTAATTTTATATTTGAAAAATTTCTGGTGTCGCAAAAGCGATCAGGTTTCAGGAAAGGGAAGGATATGTCGAAAAATTTTATATATACTCGTTTGACAGTCAACGTGTTAATGTCATCGTGTCAGCAAGGTTCCCTGTGTAATTACGTGACCTCGTTACTGGATTATCTTCATTCACTGGCTCGGTTGCGCTCACGTTGAACCCTCCGGTACCCTCTGCAACCATGGAAGTTCCTAACACACTCGCTTCGTTTCCGATTGTCTGTACAATGCTTCTCGATGATTTTGAGTTGTTCGTAAACAGAATCATATTAAAACTATAGCGCTAGTTTGTCACGTGTAAATTAATTTGTAAGTATACCTTTGTAATATGCAAGTATATATAAACAATTAATTGTAATGGAATATCACTTGTACACATTACAAAAGGATGAACTTCATATGATCACCAGTGATCTATACAACTCACTGAGAGGCAGTACACACTGCTTTGTACCGCCTCTAATCAGTAAGTTGTTGTTTCTCTTCTTGCGCAAGTCTTTCAAAATAGGTTTACAAACTCATCGAATCCTCTGCAAGGTCCCCAACGTGGCTGCAATCAACGCGATCAAGTTTTCGGGTATTTGTACATTCCAACTCTGCCTCGATCCGAATCGTCTCATGAAAGAGATACGTTTGCATATAGATAATATACATACTTGCATAAAATGAGAAAGAGAGAGAGAGAGAGAGAGAGAGAGAGAATGCGCGCGTGCAAGAGAAAGAAAGAAAGGGAGAGAGAACAGTTTTACACGTGTGCACCACGGATAATTTATTGTTTTGTATTTTTAGAGTATAGAAAGAGATCAACTTACTAATTCATTATTAATTAAATATATTGTAATCATTCTTTTTTTACACAAACATATATATATATGTATATACATATATATATGTGTGAATACAGCTTGTGTCTGTAATAATGTATGAAAAGCGTAACGAACAGAAGAACGGTATCTTGTTCTTAAGATATCGAGAATCATGGACAATTACTTTTCTCTTTTTTTATATCAAAGAGTAATAGTCACTTTTGATACAGTGAATTGCACTAAGAATTCTTTTATTCAACGATAATAGTAACCCTTGGTACCATGTTTCTGCCCTTATGTCTGATTATACGCAGCCATGTGTGATAGTGATCAATTTATATTTCTCAATGGTCTTCTGTCCAGTGAAGAGATTTCACTTTCCTCTGATAACTGTAAGTGTTCTCGGGTTTTCAACGAGAAACAGTTACAAAATGTATATGTTTATGCTCTAAATTTAGATATGTAGAATTCAACCAATCAAGACATAACTATGAGGGAACCTTACTTTGTCGTTGTTAGCAATTTACAAAACTCTTTTATGATTTGAACTGAAGAATGTAAGAAAGTAATGGTAATTTTATATCTAAAATATATCCATTTTATTACTTATATCTTTAACTAAGTAAACAAAATTTACATTGATAGTTTTAATTGGGTGGAGACCAAAATTGGTTGCAATAAATTCCAAATTGAATACTTAGCCCTTGTGCTTTATCAAT